AATTAATTAAATATATAATATTAAAATTATTATTATAACAATTGTATACATAATTTTTGGGGAATTGGTTAAGCCATAAAAAATAGTTAACTAATTTTAATAATAAAAATAAAACGTACTTTTTCTTTGGTGGAAAGAAGGAGGCTACACGCCTAAATGATAACCGATCTAGGTGTAGAGATGCCCAAACGGTCGTGGTTCAACCATGCACTCGCTCCTGGGGGAGGATCGTCAAGCCTAAACAGTCCATTCGGCCCCTTGGCTGCCAGTGATGCCAAAAAATCCGCTACGCTATTCGCTTCCCGAAAGTTGTGCTGAAGAGTGACCACCAGTCCCGGCTCAAAAGTTCCTTTATTCCTCGACAAAGCCCACCATGAGGTCCTAACTGGGAATCCGTTTGAACCATGCCTATAATGCTTTGATTGTCTACTTAAGCTATCAGTCGGCGATAGCCCAAATCCCAGGCCAACGAGAGACCTCGAAACAATTCCCAAAGTTCCGCGCCTATTATCGAGCAAAACCCCACGTTCATTAAGAAGTCATTAAGCCAACGGCCATGACAATCCCGCAGCACCCCACCGGCACTAGCCATACCAGTTGAGGGGTCAAAACTCCCGTCGGTATTAATTTTCACCTCATTCAGCCCCGGCGGAGTCCACGCAATCCAACGAAGCTCGCGGGAGGTTCGAGTACTCAATTTAGTGCTAGCCACCGCACGGCTAGTCATGCGGACAAGCGACTCCACCTCTCGAAGCCGCTGAGGTCCCGTCGTTTTCTCACCCTGGAACAACTGTAAATTCCTCCATCGCCACGCACGCCACGCCGTGACCCTGAAGATCGACGGCCAGTTGTTGAGTATAAAATTGATGGGCAAAGGATAACCGAGCTACCCGACTCGGGTCGATCTCGAAAGAAGGCTATTCGGAGCTTTGTCTACTAAATGATCGTCCAAATCACAAAAATCAGAAATAAAATTCTAAACATTCTAAGCAATTGGTTGGATGGTTGATTAACACTAAACGAGCATTCAAAAACGAGCGATTAACTAAAAGCAAGATTACAAGACGAGCAATTCGCAAACTAGATCACCGGAGTCTCATGCCATAACCAATACGGGATAATAATCTATCGACATACGGAATAAACGAGCTACGAGCATTAGATTGCTAACCCTAGTCGTCTAATCGAGATCAACAATTAATTAACGGCTCTATCTACTCAAGCAAGCAATCAAGTTCAAGCATTTCCACCATCATCAATCAAATCCAATTTACTCTAATAAAAATTATAAGTAAAACCGGAGCAAAAACGAAGTAAAGAGCTTTAAAATCAAATACTCAATCTCCCATTGCGTAGACGATGAAAAACGTAGTCAAAAGCTTGAAACTTGAACGACACCGAAGTCGCCGGAAAATCTCCCGGAAAATAGCATAAGCTCCTAATCTAGAGGGCAAAATGAAACATAAGCTAATTTCCCAAAGAGGAAAAGTGAAAAAATGAGAGTTGGATCCCCAAAATGCAAAGGAAGAAAAATATTTATACTACCACCCACACACACACTAAAACACGCAGTTTAAATGAAGGCACTCTCGACGTAGCCGTAAAATTCGCGAGTTCGCAGGCAGTGGTTGGCACACTCTCGATGGCGCGGGAACAAGGGCGAGCTCGCGGGCGTGTGCATGGGCGTGCGCGCAGAAGACACTCTCGGTGTCGCGTGAGAGTTCGCGGCGCGGGCCTAAGGTAACGGCACTCTCGACGGTGCGGTTTCTCTGGCGAGCTCGCGGACGCGCAGGTAAGGGAAACTCTCGATGGCGCGGAAAGTAGAGCGTGCTCGCGGATGTGCTAGGCAACGGCAGAACGCGAAGCTCTCGACGTCGCGGCCATTTCCGCTGGCTCGCGAGTATGCCTGGCGGGTACGGGCGTGCGCAGGTTGCGGTGGAGCTCGCGTGGTCGTGGTGCATGACGCGCGGTCTCGGGCGATGGGTGCGAGTTGGACGAGTACGTGCGGTCAGCGTGCATCCGACTTGACTAAGGCTCGAAATACTTGGTTCGAAACGGTTCGTGCAAATGACTCGAAATCTCTCGGAATTTTTGGAAATTTGCTTGACTCTTCATTCAGCCTTCGAATAACCTGAAATTTCATCACAAAGCACGGACAAGTACACCAAAAATATAAAATAAACGAAAGACACAAAAACACACGGAAAACGACAAAATGGACCGGACGACACTAAAACGAACCTAAAACCGACTCAATAACACAAATAAACACATACAAATAAGTACAAAAACATAACAAACACCAGTCCTCAGACGACCGACTGAGCTCACCATGGAGGTTGAGCAGCAGCCAGTCACGCAGGCTGAGGGAGAAAAAAGTCGGCCAATGACTTTGTGGTAGAAGTTGCTTCCATGTTGACGCCGCAACCGGGCAATCCCGCAAAGCATGGAGAGTGGATTCGTGAGCCTCCGCGCACAAGCCGCAGCCCGGGCTATCCGCGATGTGACGACGGAAGCGAAACCCATTGGTGAGTAGTGAGTCCCTGGCCGCCAACCACAAGAATTGCCGCAGAGGAGTTCGTTCCATCTCGTGGGGTTCGACAAGGCGATCCTATGTCACCGTACCTATTTGTTTTGTGTATTGAACGCTTGGCTCATCTGATCAATGCGAGTGTCGCGGAGGGGAAGTGGATACCCATTAGCGTGGGAAAGGGTCGAGTCTCGGTGTCCCATCTGATGTTCGCCGACGACCTACTCTTATTCATCGAAGCAACTCCGTCCCAGGCTGACTACATGAAGGATCTTCTCCATCTTTTTGAAAAGGCTTCGGGCCTGAGAGTTAGCGAGCCTAAGACTCGAGTATTTTTCTCCTCTAATGTTCCGGAAGCGGATCGCTTGCTCCTAGCCCAGCGACTTGGTTTCCAAGCTGTGACCCATCTCGGTAAATATTTGGGCATGCCGCTCATTCATGGCCAGGTGACGAAGGATACCTATTCTGATATTGTGGAAAAGGCGGAGAAACGCTTGGCTGGATGGAAGGCGTCTTCTCTTTCGATGGCTGGTAGAGTCACATTGGCACAGTCGGTGTTGAGCTCGTTGCCTTATTATGCGATGCAAACGTCCTCGTTACCGTTTGGGGTTTGTGACAGCCTAGAACGGAATATGAGTTGAAGAAGGAAAAAAAATTAAATTAATTGTTTGAAACAACGTTTTAAAATAGAATAACAATTAAAGTAACTTTATACTTAGTAGTAGGTATTATATAATGAAATAAAAAAAATGTAATTACTTTATTAATGCAAAGTATAATGGAAAAGAGAAAGAAAACAAAAACATTGTTATAATTTTTTTTGTTAATAATTATATATATTTATGTATATAAATATTTTTTCATTACGTTAATTTAACCATTCTCTTGGGTTTCATCTCTAGCCTACCCCAACTTGTTTGGGGCAAAAAAACTATGTTGTTGTTGTTGTTGTTGCACCTTAATTTGACCAAATTTATCATTATGGTTCGTTACAATTTATCATTATTGCTGATACTAATTAATGGGAAATGCTACGGTCCCGTTACGTACCATCCCGTTGGGTGTTTTAATAGTTGGATCATCTACTTTATGTAACTACATGTGGATCTATCGATTAAAACACCCGACAGGATGGTACCGTAACGAGACCGTAATATTTTTCCTAATTATGTACTATGTCATGTGCATAGTAGAGAGTAGGGTTAGTATCGGTTCGGTTACCAAACCGATAAGCGTATATCGATACCGTACCGATAATGTCGGTAACCTCGGAATGCAAAACCGATAACGAACCGATTAAATTCGGTTATCAAAAATTCAGTAAAACCGAAAACTCAGTTCAGTTTCGGTTCGGTATCAGTTTTATACTGTAAAAACAAAATCAATTTTGAGAAAAAAAAAAATTCTAGTGTTTATTTTTCTCGTCATTTTTGTAATTTTTTCACTTCCTACCTATTAAATACACACAAAAGACTCACAAATCCATTGAAAGATTAAAAAGTTTAAATTTAATATATAGAAGTTAGTTTAAATTTATTTAGATTATGGTTTTTGTGGTAAACGCAACTAATAAAATAATATATTGCTAACATGCAAGAAATAAAATTTGTGATGTAACTTCAACAGTAATGGTAGTACGAGAATAGACTACAATAACAATAACATCTTTTTTAAAAGGAGTGAGACTGATAAACCGACAATATTCCAATTAAAAGGTGAATGAGACAATGAGTAGTGATATTTTTGTCGTCATTTTGAGATTTAGGTAAGGTTTAGCCCTTATTTAAAGTTCTCAATACCAAACAACTAAAATTCATTGCTTTCCCTACCTGTACAGCATTATCCCGAGGACTACTAATAAAGTATTTGGAAATTATGAAACGTGTCGCTTTTCTGATGTGACAGATTTGTGAAGCCAAAACGCATGACAATTAAAATTAAATTAATAATTAACTAATGAATAATAATAATTAAGTACTCACTATTTAGAGCTCCAATATTATATATATATATATAAATATATATATATATAATGATAGATAAACAGTACACTTCCATTTGCCTGTGGGAACAAACCGTAAGAAAGAGGGAGAGAGAGAATTATGAAGCAGGAATTAGTTTCATCATCTGCTCCTAGTTTTTGTTCTCTTCTCGCATCAAAAGATCGCGACTTCTTGCTCTCGCCCACTGGAACTCAGGTAACTGCTCTTTCGATCTGATCGAATGTTGTTTATTGGTGTCTGTTTGTGGATTAATTAACCTGGTTATTTGCGAAAAAAAAAACAAAGGGAAAACGAGAGTTTGTACAGTGATGATTGTGATTCGGAGATTTTAAGGTGACTCTGTGTCTGTGATTATCGTACACATGAAATTCAGGCACTGAAAATGTGAGGGGTTCGCGACAATATGAAGTTCCTTCTTGGAGCTTGAGTTTCGATTGATTGATGTGTTTTTATTCCATGAATTTCAAATGGGCAGTAGCCCAATTCATTCAGCAATGGTAAACGTGCAGGTCAAAATCTCGGATGTCGAGGGCAAAATCGTCGCCGTATACTTTTCGGCCAACTGGTGCCTTCCATGTCACCAGTTCACCAAAGCCCTGACCAATGCTTACGAGCAGCTCAAGGATCGCGGTTTCGAAATAGTCTTCGTCTCGTCCGATGAAGACCAGTGTGCGTTCGACGAGTACCGTGCCTTGATGCCGTGGCCAGCAATCCCATTTTCTGACATGGGCACAAAAAGAGCTTTGAGTAGGAAGTTTGACGTGGAAAGCATACCCTGCTTGGTCATTTTGGAACCGGACGGTGATAAAGACTCGACGATTGTAGATGGGGTCGATCTCATTTACCAATACGGGGCACAAGCTTATCCGTTTACCAAAGATAGGTTGGACGAGTTGATGCGGCTCGAGAAGGAGAAGCACGAAAACCAGACTCTGCACGATTTGCTCACTAACCGTGAAAGAGATTTTCTCTTGAGTAATTCAAATCCGAAACAGGTAGTCTAGTCTGGGTTAATTTGTTCAGTCAAAACCTATGCATTGGTAAACAATCAAAGCTTATTACATCTGAGTTGATTTTTTTTTACAGGTTCCCGTCACATCACTAACCGGGAAAACGATTGGACTCTATTTCTCGGCTCAATGGTGCTCCCCGGCCATGAAATTCACCCCCAAATTGGCCTCCATCTACCGGAAAATCAACCAAGAAACGGGCTTGATGAACGGGACAAAAAGCTTTGAGATAGTGTTGGTGTCGAGTGACCACAGTCAAACTTGTTTCGACTCGTACTTTGGTACCATGCCCTGGCTGGCCCTGCCTTATGGGGACCCCAACATAAAAAAGCTGGCGAAATATTTCGACGTTCGGGGGATTCCGAGCTTGGTTATTTTGGGGACGGATGGGAAAACAGTGACAAAGTCGGGAAGGAACCTGGTGAACCTGTATCTGGAGAAGGCTTACCCATTCACGGGAGACAGAATAGAATTACTGACGAGGCAGGCGGATGAGGAGGCCAAGAAGCTTCCGGAATCCGAGTACCACTCGGGCCACCAACATGAGCTGACATTGGTGTCGGAAGGGAATGGAGGGGGGCGCTTCATATGCTGCGATTGTGAAGAGCAAGGGGCCGGATGGGCCTACCAATGCATCGGGTGTGGGTATGAGGTGCACCCAAAGTGCGTGAGGACCGTTTGTAAGGGGTGATCCAATTCCGTTGGCTCGAACATTAATTTGCTCAAGCTCTTGTTAGGCTTCAATTTGCTAATATTCTACCATTACTACTGATGAAAGGAATGAAAGATTTGTTCTTTGTACCTTGGTTTTTTTCAGAATGCATTTAGATTGTGAAACCAGAATTATTTTCGGTGGTATTGTCATATGAGGACAAAAAAAAAAAAAAAAAAAAAAAAAAAAA